AAAAATTCTCAAGAAGATATTTGCAAACCACATACAGACATACTTCAAAAAGATCATCCACCATGATCTAGTCAGGTTTATCCCAGAGATGCAGGGATGGTTCAATATACATAAGTCAATGCTTTATTCCAGAGATGCAGGGATGGTTCAATACACGTAAGCCAATAAATGTCATAAATCATATAAATGGACTCAAAGACAAGAACCATATGGTCATCTCAATAAACGCAGAGAAAGCCTTTGACAAAATTTAACATGCATTTACATTCAAAATCCTAGAGGGAATTGGACTGGAGGGAACATACCTCAACATAATTAAAGCCCATATACAACAAACCCACAGCTAACATCATTCTAAATTGAGAAAAACTGGAAACATTTCCATTAAAATCAGGAACCAGACAAGGCTGTCCACTACCTCCATTCCTTTTTAACGTAGTTCTTCAAACTCTTTCAAGTGTAATAAGACAAGAGAGGGAAATTAAAGCAGTAATAAATGAAAAACAAAAGATCAAATTATCCCTTTTTGCAGACGATATGCTACTACAGCTAGGAGATGCCAAAAATTCCACCAGAAAACTACTAGAAATGATTAACACTGTAAGTAAAGTGGCATTTATAGATTTATAGATTCAATGCAATGCCATTCAAAATCCCAATGAGATTTTTCACAGAATTGGAAAACACCATCCTAAGATTCATGTGGAAGCACAAAAGATCTCAGATAGCCAAAGCAACCCTGAGCACTAAGAGCAATGCTGGGGGGATTACTCTACCAGATTTTAAGCTGTATTATAGAGCTATAGTCATAAAAACAATATGATACTGGCGTGAAAATAGATCAATGGAACAAAAATTGAAGACCCAAATATGAGTACATGCAGTTTCAGCCACCTGATATTTGATGAATGGGTCAAGAACATTCCCTGAAGTAAAGACAGCATGCTCAACAAATGGTGCTGGCAAAAGTGGATCTCCACCTGTAGAAGAATGAAACTAAACGCCTATCTTTCACCTTGCACAAAAGTCAGTTCCAAATGGATCAAAGACGTCAATGTAAAGCCTGAAACTCTGAAACGGTTAGAAGAAAACATTGGCAAAAACCTAAAAGATATAAGTGTAGGAAAGGATTTTCTAAACCGGACATAAATTGCTCAGGAAACAAGGGCAAGAATTAACAAATGGGACCTCATGAAACTAGAAAGCTTCTGTATATCAAAGGAGGCAACCAGGGAAGTGAACAGAAAACCCATAGAATAGGAGAAAACCTCCACCAGCAGCACATCTGACAGAGGTTTAACATCCAAAATATATAACGATCTCAAAAAACAGAGAATCGGGACAAGAAGAAACCCAGTTAAAAGATGGGCTAAGGAGCTGAACAGAGAGTTCTCAAAAGAAGAAGTAAAGATGGCTATGAGCATCTTAAACAATGTTCAACATCACTAATAATTAGGGAAATGCTAATTAAAACCACTTTAAGATTTCATCTTACCACAGTCAGACTGGCTAAGATCAAGAGAACAAATGATGCCAAGTGTTGGAGGGGATGTGGGGAAAGGGGAACACTCATCCACTGCTGGTGGGGTTGCAAAAAAACTTGATTAGAATAAAGCAGCACATGTGTGTTTGCATGTTCGAGAGTGCTGTCATGCTGCAGCAGCTGAGCTGAGTAGTTGAGACAATGCATTGAGCTATAAGCCTGTAGTGCTTACCATTTGGCCCTTTAAAAATCACCTTTCGGGGACGGGTGTGGTGGTGCACACCTTTAATCCCAGCACTCGGGAGGCAGAGGCAGGCGTATCTTTGTGAGCTTGAGTCCAGCCTGGTCTACATAGTGAGTTCTAGGACAGCTAGGGCTACAAGCATACACACACACACACAAAAAAAAAAAAAAAAACCTACAAATGAACCTACCATTTGACCAGTTATACCACTCCTTGGCATACACCCAAAGAACTCATCCTATTGCAGAGACACTTGGACATCCATGTTTGTTGCTGCTCTCTTCACAATAGCTAAGAGATGGAAGAAACCTAAGTGTCTCTCAATTGATTAGTAGATAATGAAAATGTGGTTCATTTAACGATGAAGTTTTATTCAGCAGTAAAGAAAGATGAAATCATGAAATTTGTAGGTAAATGGATGTACTAAGAAACTGTTATACTAAGTGAAGTAACACAGACTCAGAAAAAAAATCGACATATGTTCTCCCTCATATGTGAATCCTATAACCAAATCCTGATAAGTGAGTATGCAACCAGACATAACTACAGGAACCAGGATAACGGAAAGGAACCTGGGAAGTTTAGAAGAAAAGAAAGAATCTGAAAGAGAAGAACAGTAGGAAACAGGCATTAATAAGAGAGAGATGGATAAAAATTGGGTTAGTTTAAGGGAGAGGGGAGGGAAGGGTATACAAGGATCTTAGGGGATAAAGGGAAAGAAGGAACTCAAGAGAGGTAGGACCAAAGGGGAAGGGTATTAAGGGAGAAAGGGGGCGAAATGGGGGCACATTAATTGGGGAAACCATGATAGAGGGCTTAGACAATGTGAGAGATAAATAATGACTAGCTAGTTTTAAAAACCAAAGGGAACCATACTAGTCCAAAACCTACTGACAAATTATATATACCAGATCAAGATATATGTCTAGGTAAGATTTATCTGAAAATAATTGATCTTTGCCCAAGATTTATCTATGTGGCACACAGTAATTAAAAGTACCAGACTGGTGGAACTAACCTTCTTCAACGTTTAACAGACATACTTTGAGGCCTATACTAATTTGGTCAGAGGGACATAAAGGACAGTTTTTGCTCCTTGCCCTCCTAGGTCGACTAGTTCCAGGGGACTATGAGCATCTCCCAAAATGTCCTGTAATTGTGGTGGGTCACCTGTCCTCTTGATCAAGGAGGCCGAGGAGACCCCATGTGATGGACATGAACCAGTGTCCGGTCTACAAAGAAGAGGGTCAACACAGAGGAAACATTTCCTCCATGCTTCCAAGCCAGCCATGGTTGAGCAGGACCTTTGACTTATGTTCACATAAGTGGAACTGGTAAAAGAATGGAGGCAGGGGCTCCTCCCAAGCCCATGTGACCCCTGAGGAACAGATCCTCAAACGGCCTTAAGAGTAAAAATAAATTGGTTT